TGTTCAATCTCGTCCTTGATCCTGGCGATCTCGGAATCGATGTCGCCGCCGCCGCTTCGCTTGCTCATACCAATCTGCGCTTCGGTAAAGGCTTCTCCGTACGGCTGTCCGTTGATCGTGGCCTTTTTGAACTCCATCACATTCTGCGTCAGGGTACCAGTCTTGTCGGAGAAAATGTACTCAATCTGACCAACGTCATCCGAAATATTCCAGGACTTGGGGATACAAGGCGCATCGATCGGCTCGTAGTACATGTTGATGTCGCTATAGATGAAATAAGCCTGCAACGTCCGAACGATTTCGAGCGAAATGTAAAGCGAGATCGGCACCAAGTTCTGGAAGACAATAACCGCAGCCCAAAAGGTGATAAATCCCGTAAGACCCGAAGTTCCGCCGATAGAGCCCCATTCGAACCAGTAAGAAGAAGCGTCGGTCTTTGCCCAAGCGACACCGTTTGCGATAGCCGCGATAAGACACATGATCAGAAGAATGGTAAAGTTGTAGACGACGTTAATGTTGAGCTCACGGGCAATCCGAGCCCGCTTGCTGGGAGTAACTCCTGCGTTCATCATGATCTTGGTATCGTGGCCGGTGAAGACGACGACGCCAAGAGCCCATTCGGTGTTCCGGAGATTGCAGCCACGAAGAAGCATGTTATCGATGCTAATGGGCTCCGACATTGGGATTGGGTCGCCATCCTCGTCGTTGGGAAGTTCCTGGAGCCACCTGACCGCACCGTTGTACTTGTAGAGGTTGGGCTGAGGAGGCTCGCTTTCGATGATGAACTGCGCACGTTCACAATCACGGGCATGCTTCATGCCACGGCCGCACCGGAGAGCAGAGCGAACCTTTAGGTTGGTTTCACCGTCCAAGTTCTTGGTCTCAACGTAACAGGCGCCATCCGGGTCTGAAGTTGCCAGAATAATGATATCCGCCGGAATTTCGTCATCGTTGTAGATACGAACAAAATCTCCCACAACCAAACCCTTCCAGGCGTCCTTGGCGAATCTGGCCTTGCCAGAAATGGGAAGGTTGCGGTTGACCAAGTCTCCCTTGATTTCTTGCAGAGCGTATTTGTTGTCCATCTGGCGACTCGATCCTTCTCCGGGGAAGTCCATTTCATTCGGCTGATGCGGAAGTGGCGAGGGAACTGGCGTCATCTCAACTTCGTCTCGTACGACATTCAGGGACCGTCTAGCACGCGAGGTTCTCGACTCCATTGACATACGCGGGTCCGGTTCATCGTGCGAGGCCGTGTGGTTCTTGAAAATCGGGTTGTCGTCCTCCTTTTTCCATAGTCCTTCGGTCTTGTGCCACAGAGCACCAAAGAAGCGTGAGTTTGCCTTTTTGAACCTGCGCCATAGAGATACATTGTCCGCCTCGACGTTGACATTCGGAATGCCGTGCAATTTGTGGACGGGCGCATTGTTAAGAACATTATCCAAGACGGTTCTTCGGTAGTCTTCGACGGCATCCTTGATAGCCGTGACGCAAATAATAACAATTAGAGGGACGGCGTTAAGTCCGGGGTTAACGCCACCAAATATGGGGAAAATCTAGAAAGACGGCTACGCATCAGCATCAACAACACTAGAGGCTCAGAAGGCATCGCTAGCTCTGGGTCCTGAACAGGGGTGGGCGTAATCGGCAGGGGGCAAGGGGCTCCCAAGGGAGAGCGGATGCAGCGGTGCAGCACAGCGGTGGAGGAGACGGCTACTCACAACTAAAATAACAACGAAAAGGAAGAAAATATTGGCAATGTTGTGGAATTGAAACCACAGGTTTTTGGGGACGAAGGACAGCGGCGTGTATTTTGCTGTTCGGATCTTGTTTCGCGGATACTGCTGCGTTGGATGGCCTTCGTCATCCTTGAACTCATCGGTTAATGGCAGGCCACAGAAGATGGTCCTGGGTTCTGAGTGTTGTCCGTCCGCATCATCCTTTCCTGCGTCACCACCGGCGGTGGGCGGCGGCGTGTCGGATTGCCCTGCCGTCGAGTCGGATTTCCCCGAGTGCCCCGAGGCCCTCTTCTTCTCAATGCCCAACGCGTTTCCATTGTTGTTCCTATTCTTCAATGAGAGGCGCTTTAGCCCACTGCTCTTGACGGTGAGTTTGCGTGTGGCCCATCGTGATCGTTGCGTTGAAGTTATTGGTGTCGGTTCAGCGCCCCCTTCGTCTTCGTCTGCTGGTCTGGGAGTCATGATGAGGGAATCGCGGGCAGAGCCCGATCAGCCCGAGCTGTGCGCCAGGATGGCCGAGGTGGCCTATGTTGCTGCTTATGCCGCCACTGCAGATTGGAGTAGACTGGAGTTTGCGAAAAGGGCCAATCCGAAGGTTGGCAATGCGATTGATGGCCCGGTGGCAGCACGGCAAAGTGACCTAGTTCGATACTATTCAAGGTAGGCGGGTAGGTAGGTGATGGAACTCGGATGCAAAGTGACGTTCGGTTTCCGGTATAAGCGGGTCCCGGGAAGCAAAACTTGGGAACTGAAGAGAATTGCGGATGGAGTTTCGAAGGTAGTGGTTCTTTGTTTCGAATATAGCGTCAGGTCGTTGAATGGGCGATAGGCATGAAATCTATGCGACTAGTCGATTCGGACGGAAGATCACGAAAAGAGTGTCGGAGTCGTAAACCAGGAGCGATCTGAGACGGGAGTTCAGGCGCGGCTGGCACGTCCTCGAAGGGGGGGAGGGAGGGGAGAAAATGGAAAGAGAGCGAAATGTAGTTTCGGCGCCCTTGGACGGTTGGAGAAGAAGGGCGGTGGTTTAGGTTAATGGATTCCACTTCCTAGGTCGCAGCCCGTCACAGCACTCGGCGAGATGGGATGCGGTGCATGTGTGAAACTGAAAGAGAGGGTTCAATCAATTCGGTTGTGAGGGCGGGCGAAATGGAAGTGTCTGCAACAAGCGACGGGAGGGGAGAATGGATGGATCAGAATCACAGTGCTGACGGGAGTGAGGCAACAGCAGTAACAGTAGGTACGCAGCATAGCAGCCGACCTAGGTAGCGAACAGCGAGTGGCCTCAAGGAACGGGCATGGAACCTAAGGCGGGCACTAGCTAGGTGAGTGAGGTGCCGTGGTCAGGGCAGCATGGAGGGCCAGGCACTCAGGTCAGGTCTGTCTGAGCACGGCAGAGACTGGACGGGATTGGACTGCACTGCCTGGGCTCCTTCTAGGGCCCGGGAAAGCCGGGGTTGACTTTTCTGGGGCCAGCAAACCTCAAAGCCAAGAAAATGGAAAGATGGACATGGCAAGAAGAGCCCTGGACCCAGCAACGGACCGGACTTGTTACAAGTGTAACCACTGGGACGAGTCAAATACACGTTCAGACCAGTCGCCAAGGGGAGTCCCGGCTGGAAATTCACCTCTACGGCCCAATGTAGGTACCGCCTACAAGTGGGCTTACAAATATGGAGTCCCGTGCTTGGGCAAAGACTGGAAATGTTCTGCTGCTGCCTGTCTCCATTCAGGCGGTGATCAGTGCAGTGTTGCTGCAGGAGAAGATGGAACTCGAGGGCCATCAGCCAATTATGCTGCATTTTAGTCCGATGCGATCACGGCATGGAACAAAAAGGTGATAAAAAAAAATAAAAAAAATAATAACATTCACGACATGATGAAACCATAGTGTAAAAGGCTGAAAACCCATTCATTCTGCACACACAATTTGATCCCGCCGTCTCTTGGCAAGGGAACCTTTTTCCACTTTTTGACTTTCCTTCCTTTCTCCAACGCGGCGAGACACCTTTCCCTGTACCTTTCAGCTTCAAGACCTACCTCACCTATGCCAAGGGATCTGGAATACCACAATGATGCAAAGATGCAATCCATGTGAACGGCCCGATGGACGAGCCGATGGACGGACGGACGACTGTAAAGGCCGACAAATACATACATTGACAGTGTTTTTGACGAAACCATCTGGTACAACCTCGAACCCTGGAATTGGTAATCATCCAAATTGAACCCATCGCCAGCCAACCAGGGACGCCGGCCCTCCTCCTTCCTTCTTCACACAATGTCCACTCTTGTTGCCCACCGCCAAAGTGCAACCAAGAGACTCCTCTCTCAAGCTCATCATTTACGGCGTCGCGGCACGACAAGGTGGGGGCACCCGGCCTTCCTTCCTTCGTTGTTCCTCCACTCCCGCCTGTTACCACCACGGCCAACCCCGTTGTGAACCCCGTCATGCGCCAAATAGTCCGACCTGAGACCTTTGGTTTTGTACGGTGGGCGGTGGTGGCTATGGAATTGATGCCCGGCACATGCCTCGCCCGGCCACCTCCAACTCATTTCTTTATTCCTCTGCCTCTCTGTGTACATAATGGAATGGTTACACGTGAAACATTACCATGCCTCAACCTCGACACTTCCAAATGACCACAGTGGCATTCGGGATGCTCGGCCCCTCGCTGTCAGCTCCGAGAGAGGCTTGACGCCCTGACGCCCTTCCCTCCCTGGTAAGCCTGTGTGTAAGAAAGCACCAAATCGATACCAACGCACGTGCGGGCAAAGAAAAAAAAAACATGGAAGCCGTCGTCGATCCTGCTGGTTCTTGCAGAGATCGCAGGAGAGCAAAGTGGGGATCAAGAGCCATAGGATTCCGAACAATTGCCTCTCCGGGCCATGGCCATCTGTCCATCAGCCCATGAGCCACTCAAGTAATAAGCCCTCCCCGCCTTGCGATGCCACCCAATGCACCTCTTCATTTTATCCATCTTGCAGTTTTACTTCTCTATAGGTGGGCAGCAAGTTTGAGGTTCGCTGTTGTTGGGGAGGTCTCGCTATCTCTCTCCGCTCTCGGTACGTACGGTCATGATATACATATTATACCAAACCTCCACTATACACACCTCTAGGTAACATCGTGAAGATCAGGAAAGCGTTTTGCAGAGGAACAAGCAACGCATCATATCTCTCTCGGGTTTTACTCAAAACCCGGGTCCCGAAGCCCGCGTTGCATAAAAAGTCCCCCGTTGTCCAGCTTCGGAACCTTTCCTCTTTCTGCAAACCCCCAACTGAAAGGCGACGAATAGTATGGAGTCGCCTGCCCAATCAGGTATAAGTTCTCATGATCCGCAAAATGAAAGTGTTACAGCAGCTTGTCAGGTAGCCTGACGGGGCTTGGCTCACAATTCAAATGCTCGGCCTTCTTGAAGTGGAAGGCTTGGAGAATATGCGTGCATTGCGAAACAACTTCCAGATTCGTGAGTACGTACTCTGTATGTACTTCACACACAGGAACAGCAAGAAAAGACCGAGGCGCGTGCCCGCGCGCTTGTTGAGATCCTCGCAATTTTGATGAAAGGCGGACTAAAGAGATCTACTCCATCGTGGGGAAGACTCCTCTCATCGAGCGACCCTACCCAACCAAACCCAAGGAAGAAAAATAGGGGCTACAGTATGTATCTCGGCAGCCCTGGGGGGCCAACTGGTAGGTATTCTGGAAAACCCGTCTTCAGCTCACACTGGGACTGAACGTTGGAATCTTAATCTACCTATTGTCTTCCTTGTGAGTGATGCAATGAATGCTACAAGCCCATCCGCCGCCTCGCTATCATGACTTGCAGCGCCACCAGACCAGGTGCCCCAGTTCCCAATACAGCCAGCCAGTCTTAACCACCATTTTACAACGATTTCATTTTATAAATAAAGGTGAATGACCAGAGTGCATTCATGATCACACCGCCGACAGCGCGTCTACGCGTCTCTATCCCCGTCGTTGACGAGGCCCTAGCCCAGGCGGCCCTGACAAGGAAGGGAAGCAAACAGGATTTGACCGATGACCGATTGAGCACCGACCGGCGGGCAGGCGGGCGGGCGACCCCTATTTCACAGCCTCGATGGATCTTCTTTGAGAAAGATAAGGATGGAGTTCAAACAACGACTTCCCGTCCTAACCCTTTTCAAGAGCCTTGCAAGTAATGCCTTTCAATTCTTCTTCTCTCTCCTGGAGCAAAGCCGCTTGCCAGTTTGAGAGCCGACCTCTTGTGTCTCTCTGCCCTGAACAACCGAACGATTTGCGGCTCAACCCCTTGAGCTCGCTGCCAGCCCAGTGCCGCGCCAAGGCGTACGCCGTTACCGCTGTATACATTACTACCTACCCAGCAGGGCAAACGCAAGGCAGGGCAGGGCAGGGCACAAGGCATATTGGGAAGCTATCCCGTGACACTCAACGTCGACCGCCTCCTGAATCAATCATGACCCTTTCCAGCAAATAGTACCCTCTCTTAATCCTGATTAAGTCTGATGTCTGATGTCCGAAAGGGTGTGGGTTTGGTTCCAGGTATGGTTGTGCTACTATCATGTCCCTATCAATCTTTTCAAGCAAGCCGACCTTTTGCAAACGCATATTCTACAGACTGACCCATCCATCAGATGTAAACATTTCCACTTCTCGCAGTTGTAGGTACTGCGTACGTGAGGCGCCCCTTGGTATCAAACCCCCCCCCCCCCCCCCCCCCAAAGCTGAGGATTCGAGCTGTCCCCCATAGTGCCGGACTTACTTGCATTGACAGAGGACATTACTATACTTATTGTGCTGGTGTAACACGCCAATTTTACCTGTGTATCGCGTTTCAGTGACTTTGTTTATCCGTTCATACATCAGCCATCACCTAAAACCAGCACAAGACTCGGCAGGGCTCCAACCATTCTCGGGTTTTGAATCATCGGGTGCCTTTTAGTGAGGCTTCTTTTCGTGATACATACAAGTGTAGTGTACAGTACAGTGAATGCACAAAAGCACACAACAGTCTGGCGGTTTTGGAATCTTCACTTGTTCCTCTGCTTGGCACTCTGCCAGCATTTCTTTACTAACCGAAAAGAGTCGAACACTGTGTGCAAACTACATACAACGAAGCCAAGAACAATACCCCAAGATCGATGCGTGGCCACTCCGACTCATGCTGCTACCACACCACACCTTAAAAATCGGGACTTGTGTAAGCTGGTGATGATGAATCATCATGAGTCCTGATGATGACGCTTACAGAGAGAAAGAAAGATGCCATGACGTTTACACTTTTACAACTAGACTGTAAGTACCTTAAGTAAGTAAGTAAGTAAGTAACTGGCGAACAACTCGAAATACTTACAGTATCAGTAAGTAACTTGACACCCACAAAAACTGTACAAATGAATACCCGATCGGAGCACACACACACACCAATTTCCGGGTACATGAATACGATATACTACGTAGGGCGGACCTCGTTATACCTACATTTAAACTTTCCGGCAAAAGAAAGAACGAAAAAAAGACAAAAGTAGACGATGAAACTTGTCCACCTCTGTGTGTAGTGTAACGAACCGTGCGTGCGTGCGTGCGTGCGTGCGCCGTCGCCGCCGCCCTCGGTATCTCCCACCCCCGAGGGATGATGAATGGATGGATAGATGAGACCCAGTTTGGACCCTTTGCTTACCTACCCTTGATTATCATCAGCACAATTGAGACACACAGCAAGCAACTGATGACAATTCTTTGGTTTGGAAAACTGGAACCGTTGATGATTGGACCAACATTGCACTGCATCGAGGGACTTTTTTTTTGGGTTGGTTCATCGAAAGCTAAGGTACTGTACTGCATCACGGTGTGTATCAATGTATTTGTTGTTGGATCGATCGGATTGGATTGGATGATGTCAACAACGCAGCGTAGGTAGAGGTAGCCTTTTTAGACTTTTGTTTTGGCCGCTGACAAAGAATCTACGACTACCATACGCTACAGACGGGCGGGAGGGTGTCAATGCCGAACCCAGCAAAACTTCAATTGCTCAAAATCTGACTGGACTTGCAGAAGGGACTAGATTAAGATACAGAAAGAAATAGACTGCGAGTTATTCAGGGACTCTGATAAGACTTTTCCAAAGCACGCATGATGGATCGATACTAGCACTTAAAATGGATTTGTCCTTTATTAGTCGTAACCACCAAGACTGGGGTCACCCTAGCAAAGCGGTCGAAGCCTTAACGTCCGTCCAGTCTGTCCTGACGTCCAAGCGTTCGCCAAGGAGGCGGTTTTTAGCGAAAGTGTTAAAATTACCATAATGGTTACTAGCAATCGTTAACAATTTCACCCATGTGTCATGGGACGGACGGGTCCTTGGATCAGATAAAACAGGCAGGCGAAGGGATCTCAAGAACGACGCTTGAAAAGGAATTGAGGCTGTGAAATACTTGGCCGTGACGGCCTGATAACACAAAACAGATGAATGGCCGAGGTACATAAACCTGAAGTGTTTGACAGCGAAAGTTTTGAGACGAAAACATTTTACACTACACACACTAGGCCATGGCTCCACGGATTGGCGACGTCGAAGGTCCTGAGTTATTTCAAAAAAGATGCTATAAAAGGAAAGGGAATTCGGGATGGCATCATCGCCCGACGGGTTGATTTTTGGTTCGTTGGAGCAGACCCTTGATTTCCTCTCGCGACCCTTGAATGTCTTTCTCCCAACGAACCCTCGCAAAATTTAGGTAACAGATCTCACACAAGGGCCTTTCCTTTCCCGTCAAGGCATAGAATCCAAGAATGACCTGAAGAAGCGAACGGAATCGCGAAGTTGGGTCACCCCTCCCAACTGGAAACGGTGAGTTTTCCCTGCCCGATACCATATCCAAGCTCCGACATAATGGTCAATGCAAGCTGGCAGGGGTGTTGCCCAAAAACTCAAAAAAGAAATTTCCGTGCCTACCGTTTGACGTACGTCTCCTTGAGCCTCCAAAATAAAGAAAAGAAAGGAAAAAGAATTCCGCTTCTCAGCCTACCCGACGTAGTTGTTTGAGTATGCGCTGTGGTCTTCTCGGTGGCAGACAAGACAAGTGTATTGGCGAAGCCATTGGCTTTCTTGCTGACATCACTCGCAGTTGACGAATGGCCAATCATCTGTCATGTGCTGCTGTCATGGAGCGACTGTTGAGTGAGATCGAGCAAGCATGTTCTTGGGTACTCCTGATGAGTAACGGATTCATGATGGGCTGAGTCACTATGATCACGTCGGTAAGGTTGTCATGGAGGTGGATGGATAGTGTTGGCCGTGACAAAGAAAGAAAGATAAGGCTCGCACCGATGCGAAGCGGTAGTCTTTGGGTAGGTAGGTATCTCTCGACGACAACCTCAAGTTGTTCATTGTTTGGGGTTTCCACTTGGCTCTTTCACTCATCCTCCAACCACTGCAGCTTGCATTTCCCTCGCTTAGCCCTAACCCGAGAACATGCAGCCAGGCGTTTTTAGCGGGGCAGTTGGTGGGGATCCTGTCAAATGCACTGTAAATTGAAGCGGGCCGCTGCGACGCGGGTAAAGCTGCAGCAACGCGTCTCTTCACACGACGACGGGAGGACCTCAATGAACAACCGACTTTTCCTGGTAGACAGCATGATGAGATAGGAATATCAATTACACATGTTTATCATACCTCCAGCTGCTTGAAGCCCAAGCTGTTCAAGTTCCTTGATAGGGGGGGTTCTAGGAGGCGAGCGCAGACCGTTCGTTGCCCGTATTGTTTCTGACTTGTTGAAATTCAGCATCGTATCGTCAACCTCGTCGAGCAGACCATCAATTCGACACAATGTCCAAGAACGCTGCAATCACCAGCTTCTTCAAGCCGGCCCCGCGGGACTCGCAGGACTCTCAAGGGAGTTCCCAGGTTCCACCATCTTCAATCCCACGATCGCCCATCAGGGCAGCAATGTCGCCCTTCAAAATGCCTGGAACGCCAGGAACGGGATTCAAATCATCACTCCCCATCAGGTCTCCTGTACCGCCTCCATATTCGCCCTTGGCACTTTTGTCATCACCGCCAAAGCCCCGATCTGCGCTAAAGCCGGTACGAGATCGAAATGCCGTCATTGGAGCATCCGACGAAGAAGAAGACGGCGACAGCGACTTCATATCATCGGACGATGACCTGCCTGATCTCTTCGCCGAACCAAAGACCGAAGTACCCATGTCCATTCGAGCAAACGGAAGCCCGACGAAAGGGCCGGCTTCAAAGCGGGTGGCTTCAGCCAAATTTGTGATTTCACCCATCAACTTCAACAAGAAGCACAAGTTCGACATGAAGGCCATCTTGAAGCATACCGAGGCAGACAAGAAGATCGCAGAAAGCGAAAAGCGAGTTGAGGCGCTCATGGCCGAGGATGAAGAAGAGGACAACAAACGAGCCGAGCCACTTGCTGTCAAGAAGGAGGGGACCACGCTCCATGACGACATGCTGGATATGTTGTCCGAAGCGGAGGACAGTCAGGAGGAGACCAAGAAGGAGAAGCTGCTGAGGGCCGTCAAGAGGACGGAAGCCACAAGCCAGCGTAAACAATGGTACTTCTTTGACGAGAACCATGGGCACAAAGTGGTCGACGATCTGTCCATAGGCTTCCGGAACAAGTTTCCCCAGCACGCAGCCACCGGTGTGTGGAAAATCCTGGCGGCACAAAAGGGGAGAACGGATCTCCTCGAGCGCGGAGTTCCGTACCATCTCCAGTGCAAACTTCGGAACCTACCCGACGAGATCTTTGTCTGGATCGTGGACGAACTACCCTTCGTCAAGACCCGGAGGTTACGAGAAGCCAACCTCCGACTTCTAGGGACATGTCTCGAGCAAGCAGGCCGACTCCTCACACCCGACCGTATCACCCAGTTATTCCGCACCATCGGCACACCCAAGCGATGTCTCGAGACGCCATCACCATCAGAAGACGGCACTGAGCAAACGAAGCCCGACCCTGGCCGTCCCTACAACATGGACCGGGACTGGACCCCGCTCCGCACCGTCCTGCGCATCCTATCCCAGACCGCCCACGGCCTATCCATTGACTCCCTCACCCGCTCCACGACCCTCCTCCTCCGCCTTGGCATGGACGCCCTCATCCGGCGCAACCCGGACCTGCACTCCACCTTCCGACACACCCTCATCAACCTCGTCGAAGCCGTGCCATCCTCCTCTTTCGACGCCTTCTGCCTCTCCTGCTGCAGCAGTCTCTACTCCCTAACCACGGACTCCTCCCTCCTCTCGGACGCCCTCCGTGCCCTGCCCTACCAGACCCCGAAACTAGTCAACCTCCGCCGCCGCCTAGCGCTCGCCTTCCTCTTTGCCTCCGCTTCCACCTCTCTCTTACCCTCCCCCCCTTCTCTATCATCATCATCATCATCATCACCCAAGATCCCCTCCCCCATTCAAGAATTTTCCCTGCACGACCCTTCCCAGACTTTTTCCTTCCCTTTACTTCTCTCCTACCTCGACATCTCTCCCCACTTTCAGACGACCCGTTCTTCCTCGTCTGCCGATTACTTTGTTCTCTCGGCCCAAACCGACCTATTACGCATATCCATCGGCGACGGCGATCCTCCCTCTTCTTCTTCTTCTTCTTCTTCTTCTTCTTCTTCTTCTTGTTCGGTTCCCCTTCCGTTCCCTAAATCCACGACATCATCATCCTCCTCCACAACAAACCCCGAAACCAAATCGCATAACCGCCAAATCGACCTCCTCACCCGCCGCATCCGCACCCTCTGGTCCAACATCCACGACCAATCCGGGTCGACAGCAGAGATCTCTCGGTTGGAAGCCAAAGTCAAGCTGAAAGACCTGGAGAGAAAATTGGAGTGGGCGGTTAGGACGAAGCCGGTGAGTAGGACGAATATCTTTGGGATTCGGTCTGCGGGAGGAGGAGGAGGAGCAGCAGGAGGAGGAGGGTCGGGGATCTTGGGTGGTGGTGTTGGTGGGTATGGGGAGGACGTGGATAGTGAGGAGGAGAGGGAACGGGAACAGAAGAGGGAGAGGGAGGGGGTGGAGCAGAAGATGTTTATGAGGAGGTTTTTGGGGAAGACGACGGCGGGGGCAGCGAAGACTGAGGCTTAAATGGGGGTTTGTTGAATGGGATGTATGGACATGTTTGGTTTTTGGGCGTTAGGAGGAACTCTGTTTACTGGTGTTGAACTGTGGGGGTTATTCGGTATGGTGTACAATCGGCTTGCATTGTCTGTTTGTGTGTCTGCGGTATATGGAATGAAAGGCAATATAGAAGCGTTAAGATATGAGGTAAATGGTTGGCCATGTCAGGAAACGTACAGTTCTCAAAGATTGGCAAAGTCTAGAGGAACTCAAAGGAAGCCAACAGCATGAAACAACAGTTGCTTTGCGATAAACAAGGGGGGGAAACAGCGAAAACAACTGTATCATACAAAACTCTAACATGATAATCCTCCATGCATGCATTCGTCCATCATCCATAACCACCTACCATACTCCTTCGCCAACCTTTTCTTGGCTTAACTTGTCTTTGTCATTGAACATCATCAAACAACGAGTAGTAAGCACCCAACGCTCTGGCGTGAACCTCTGGCTTTCGTCTCCCTCTGGAGATTCGTCCACAGGACTCCTTTCTCCCTTTCCTGAACATCAGGTGCCGTAACTTTGTTGTAGGCCTTCTGCGCATTCGCAGCCTTCCAAAGAAGCGGTGCATTTAATCGAAGAACTTGCGGTTGGGGTTTTCACCGAACAGAGCCTTGCGCATCGCCGGGAGAGCGCTGTCCTTAAGCAGGGTCAACCTGGCCTCGAAGGTGTTGTCGATATCGATCTTGCCGTTTCCGCCAACGATGATGATGCCACCGGCGCTATATATCAAATCGTGTTAGCATCATTTCTTCTTCTTCTTCCTCTCCTTCCTCTTCACCACAGCCCGAAGCATGGTGTGTGTATGTATAACCTACCTCCCCTCAGGAACGGGATTCTCCGCATCAATCGTCGCCTTGACATCCTTATCCGTCTTGTGCTTGTACTCGGCGCTCGCCCACCCCGCCGCCTCCCTGACCGCGTCATAATCCGCCTGGCGCGCGCGGATCACCAGCTCCGGCTCGTTCATGGCGTAGAAGCCCTCCAGGATCAAGTCCCTGAGGATGTCCTTGTAGCGGCCCAGGTCGTGGGTAGCTTGGCCGAGCTGGGCGCTGGCGGCCTCAAAGATCTCGTCCAGCAGCTCCTGGCGCGCGCCCAGGACCCGGAGTCGCGTCTTGTTGGCCATTGTCGACCGCGTGATCTGCTGCGACATCTGGGCCTGCTTGAACTTTTTGGCGTAGGCCGAGTCGATGGCGTCCGTCTCCTGGCGGACCAGCTTGGACTTTTCAATGGCGAATTCCTCGTCGGCCTTGATCTGGATCTCGCGCGCCTTTTCCTCGGCTTCTTGCTTGATGAAGGCCGTCATCTTGCGGAGCTCTTGTCCGACCTGGTTGGTGGGCAGTGTGGTTCTTTGGTTAGCTGGCATTGCATGGTTGGTTATCTGGACTGGACGGAATTGGCTCTACCTGATCGTCGGACAAGGCGTGAACTTGTGACATTTTGGCGGGTGTTTATGAAGGCACTCTAGGGAATAGGTGTTGTGGTGGTGGTTCGGGTCTCCGAAGGACGGTGATCGAGGATGTGATGTCGTCGTCGTCCTTGGGAGGGGAAGCTCGTGGCGGGCAGAGCTAACTTGGATCGATGTCGGGTGTAAGACGACGAAGACGTGAGGTGTAGGGACGCTGGGGGGATGGCGATCTATCAAAAGTGGAAAACAGGGCTCAAAGGGTATCGCGGTTGCTGGAAGTATTTAGTTTAGACGGAGGATATCGACAAACGACGTCGACTAATGGATGTTGTTGTTGTTGCCCGTTGACGCAGCTTGGGGAAGGGTGATGATGTTGGCTTGGCACTGCCCTGGGATGGAGCCAGAAAGGCTGGCAACAGCAACCCCGGCCCTGGGCAACGAACCTCCAGCTACAAGTAGGTGGTGGTGGTGGTGGTGGACATCAGCCAACTGAACTCACGACGTCGCTCGCTGTCGCCCCGCTGCAGTGCAGAGCTTCGAACCGGCCCGGGGACCTGGAGAACAGCCCTCACTCAAGGCATTACGTGAGATAACTGCGGCAGGCACCAGCCACAGTAAGCCCCACCTCCCGTCGGCTTGGGGACCTCGAACAAAGTGACATCAGCCTCAGTCCTATCGGTAATGTACTGCGTAGAGGTACCTCTACCAGATGCCTGCCGCTTTGAGGAATGAAATCCATGCCCGCCCGGGTTCGTCACCAGTCCGATACCTACCTACCTATGATCACCGTCGGCTAGCTAGCTGCAAGTGATGTCCGGCTGGCAAAGCGACCGACACTCACCCGACAAGGAGAGGGAAGTGGAACCAAGGCCCCAGGGCATGTCAGCTGATTGGACCCACCCGCCACCCTCAGGGCACCGCGGTCAATCACTCGCAGCGAACGGAGTCTTCCCCTTACCTAGCGTTCAGCCATAGCGCATTGACGGCCTGTAACATGTGCTGCACATACGCTGCTGCACTGCGCGTGAGAGCGTCGCGCTAGGTAGACCGGGCACCTCCCTCCAGGGCACCAGCCCGTCTCGGTGACGGGACCCATGTCAGCCAGGCAGTTCCACGCATCTTTCCTTCCATGTTGCAGAAAGAAGGAAAGGAAGAAAGCTGAGCAGAGTCTGGGTTTGGGTCCATGGAGGTCAGGTCGACGACGCCCGGTGGTTTTGTTCCTTCCACTTATTCATGCGTCAAGGCCCGATCCATACCTCTCCATACGTATAGTGGGCGCCCGGTTCATGGAAGTTGCCCTGTCTTTTTCCAAGAGTTTTAATGTTTCGTCTCTCGAATACACAATTTCCCCCCTTCCACTACTTGCCTCTACTTTCCTTCAACCACTCCTTTCGTGATAGCAGCTCAGTGAACTATCCGAGATTTGCACTCCAGTTTACAAGAGCCGGAGGTCGATAGCCATTTGCCGTGCCTGCCCTGCGGCCGCATATTACTGAGGTGCCCTGCAGTGAGACATCAGGGAGAAAGACCCTATAACAACAGTCTACTGTCCAGCGAGGTCCTCACGGCGGCAACAACCTACCTACTAATCAACCAACCTTATCATCGGCCTCTATCTAACCCACCTACCTACATTCTACAATACCTCGCTACGTACCTTGATACCTACGACCGCCTCGACCGTTTGCGACACACCTAGACTACCGAATTGAACCGGACGACAAACTCTCGCCCCCTTCACCGATTGTGCACCTGACCCGGGTCTTCGTGCGCTCGAATTACGTCGATTCCAATCATAGCCAACAACGCTCTTTGTTGTGGTACATATTCTCCCTTCGACCCAACAACTCGCCCGGACAACCTCAGCGACCGAGCGGCATCTCCGTCACAAGATTCCCCCCATGCAAACATAGCATAATAGCCGCCACCTCGCCCCTCTGGCTGTCTGGGTGAAAGATAGCCTCAAACCACAGGCGCCATGGGGCTCATTGGCGGCATCTCTCCTGGAGGGAGCATTGCTGTAAGCTAAACACTCGACACACTTCCATCTTTCCACCGACAACTCCTAATTTTCCATGCGCAACCACAGCTCGGAATAATAGTCGGCTTGATATCCACGAGCGTGCAAAGTCTCGGCCTCACGCTGCAACGAAAGTCCCACATACTCGAAGATGAAAAGGGGCCCTACGATGTTCGACGACCGCCATACCGGAGAAGGAGGTGGCAGGTAGGAATGGGCATGTTCATCATCTCCAATGTCATCGGGAGCTCGGTTCAGATATCGGTCCTCCCTTTACCGGTTCTCTCGACACTCCAAGCGTCCGGCTTGGTCTTCAACTCGATATGCGCCACTCTCATTCTTGGAGAACCCTTCACGAGGTGGTCACTATGGGGAACCTTGCTGGTCTGCAGCGGCGCAGTCTTGATCGCCATTTTCGGGGCTATTCCCTCGCCGGCGCACAAGCTGAGCGAGCTGCTGGAGTTGTTGGGACGAGGTCCGTTCGTGGCCTGGATGGTGTTTCAGGGATTCCTTGTGCTGGGCATTGCGATCGCGACAGATGTGGTCAGCCACTTTACGAAGCTGATGCAGCATTCCCGGTTCCGCCTGGCTCGGGGTTTTGCATACGGGTGCATAAGTGGCATCTTGTCTGCTCACTCCCTGTTGGTGGCCAAGTCAGCCGTCGAACTGCTCGTCAAGACCATCGTGGACGGCGATAACCAGTTCGTCCACTGGCAATCCTGGGTCATTCTTCTGGCCCTCGTCACGCTCGCTCTCAGCCAGCTCTACTACCTACACCGCGGCCTGAAACTGGTTTCGACCTCGGTTCTTTATCCACTAATATTTTGCATCTATAACATCATCGCCATTCTAGATGGCCTAATCTACTTCGATCAGACCGAACTGATTAGCCCGCTCCAGGCGTGCCTAATCACCCTCGGCACCGTCATCCTTCTAGCCGGCGTCCTGGCACTGTCATGGCGTCTCCACGACGAACAACACACTCCCAGCGTCGGACAGTCGACACTCGCCCCAGGAATGGGCCTGGTCGAAGACACCGAAGACGAAAACGACGAAGAAGCCCTTCTCTTACGTTCCGACATTGAAGATGAAGAAGAACGCATCGGCGTTCCCTCCCCACGCTTGTACAGCTACAACACCTTCAGCGCCAGCCAATCCCGGCTCGGCGACGGCACCTCTCAAGACGGCGGGCCCGTCGTGGTGAGGGCGCAACCAAAGCGCCAGCGTTCTCTAGCCGGCCAATCGATCCGCACCCTCCCTAAGAACCGATGGACCGAATGCGCCGAAATTTGGGACGAGCTCGAAGACCGCGACACGCCACCCGACCACTCCTCCACTTCCTCCCCAGCCTTTCTCTCCAGCAGCAGGCGACGCTCCACTACTTTACCCGTCACGAATCCAAACGAGGGTACTTCCCTCCTCCACCCTCGTCGAAGGGAAGTAAGCGATAGCTACCAATTTGCGCCCAGAGCAGCCACCGATCTTGCCTCGGCCCGACGGAATTTTGGGAGACGTAGGAGGTCCACCGGGTTTCCCGGTTTCATTCCCCGCAAACCTTCAGCAACGACAGTACCACGGAAACCATCAGGTGGTGGTGGTCTGCAGGATCTAGTCAGCGGGTTTTTGAGAGCAAGGTGGTGGAAGAATAAACCCAAGACTACTCTTGGTGTGCCGGGGCTTAGGGCGGAAGCAATAGTTGCGATACATGAGGAGGAAGGGGAGGGGCTGTTAAGGGATTATCATGGCCAGGGTCAAAGTCAGGGACAGGCGCAAGGTTCGGGATCAGGGTCAGGGACACAGAGTGAGAGAGTGTCTCCAAGGAATGGGAACGCAAGGCCAGGGCCAGAGGCGTCCTCACTAGATGGCGCCCAAGGGCATGAGCGATCAACAACAACAGGAGGGACAAGGAATAATGGGAGGCGCAAGGTTGATGACGCACCGGTATAGTAGACCGTGTGTCTTGCTTGGGTTGGCGCTTGGGGTTTGGCTTTATATCATTCTTCTTCTATTAGGTAGCAATGGAGGCTCCGGGGGGATGCATAAATATACCAGCATTAGACGCGCGTTTTGTTACAAGTGTCGTACCTGCTGTATCTGCGGTATCTGCTTGAGTATGTGATTATCCCTTCTCCGTGTCGGTTTCACGCTGATATTGTGTGAATGCGGATTTCAACTAGACGCCTCAAATACTGTTGATTCGACCAAAGGCTGGATAAAACTGGACGATCAAGATCAATCATTTTCACGAGCCACTTTCATAGTAGTTGATGGCTAGTTTGGGTGCTCTTGAACTCAAGGAATGATCGATCGTTAGCATCCAGGCAGGAGAACCAACCGTGGAATCTCTATACTTAAAAAAAAAAAAAAAAAAAAAAAAAAAAAAAAAAAAAAAAAACATTATCAACACACGAAAAACGTCTTACAAGCACGGGCCTTCGATGGACGTTGCGGAAGATGATGAATGAAAGGCGTTGGCTGATTTGGAAGTTGTATGATAGCCTTTGCTCAGGTCGGTGCTACTAGGTAGCTGACAATAAGGCTTTCGTTGACCGCGAATTACTGCCCGAGTTGGTGTTACCGATGGTGTATACGTTCGTATACATGCTGAAGTTACCGTTCGTAAGCCCATACGTATCGTACCTATGTATGTCCACTGGCAAGTCCGGTAGACCCGTTCAGGCGCGCTCTTTCACCGTCGTACCGGACCCTAATCCCTATAGACCCGACGGTTCTGCTGTCCATCTATGCATTCGTCTTCGCCGCTGTAGGGAAATTGTTGATGTTCGTCAATGAAATGATGGCGCCCGATGATGCTTGTCCTTCCGAATGTCTTGAGTATCGTGACTGGAGGAAAGCCTATATCCTTGTTCTCCTGATCCTCTCTTACGCGTACCGATACTATTGTGTGTCGTACAATTCTGGTTATTTAACTTGCACTTTTCGAATTGGTGAATCGGGCACGCTCGCCATCTTGAGGAGTCTCTTTGCACTTTTGCGTTTAACTCTTTTCTGAATGAATGGGTGTTGGAAAGCGGTAGAGCTGTCTTGATCAAGCCTACATGTAGGTACCTACCATTCCTGAAACTCAGTGGGTGATTGGGAAAGTCGAAAACGAACTTGACTTGACAAGAACGCAGGTGGATAGGTAGCCATGTGAA